GGTCCAAAATTGTGCTATTAGCCCTTAGGGCATCTCATGGCTATATCCTTCCAACCCCAAGGACTAATATGACATTGATAATAATGAGGGAAAGATTAAAAAATACCTGATATTCTTAAGATGTTACAACTCTCCCCTACTTGAGCTAGACTTTGTCCTCGAAGTCTGCTGTAGCAAACAGATCCGGATAATGCTCCCGCGTCTCGGACTCCGGCTCCCAAGTCCACTAGGATCCCTTTTGATGCCACCACTATACCTTTACCAGAGGTATCTCCTTGTTGCATAAAACCTTTATCTTCCTCTCCAATACAACCACCAGCTGCTCAACATATTTCATGCGTTCATCAACCTGAATGTCATCCAAGGACACTACCGCATCCTCGTCCAATATGCACTTCCGCAACTGCGAAATGTGGAAAGTGCTATGAATTTGACGGAGCTCCTCTGGAAGATCCAGTCTACATGCCACCTTGCCAACCCTAGCAATGAGTGGGTGCATTTCATAGCAGGTAGGGTTAGGAATGATTAGCAACTCTTGGGAGAGTGAGGATAGGATAAATATGTATCCTAGATGCTTGGTCCTAGAGGTAGGGAATTTTGTATGAGGATCTACCTGATTTTTTTATGTCTTAGTGCCAGTCAACTCCACTGCTCTAATTTTTCTTGCTTTATGATTCGTGGGACTCATGTTGATGTGAGTTAACTATCAAATGAATACATTAAATTATATTCTATGAAGGTTAAATAATCTTAGAGTGAAGGATTTGGTCCTACTACGCAGCTTATGTTTGAGTCTAGCCGTAGTAGTGTTGAGTATTTTAGTCGAAATATTATTTAAGTTTTGTTGTATGTAGTTTTATTCAAGAAGTGGTTAGCTGTCATTTATAAGGTTTCTTTAGAATCTAATGGCACGGGAGGTGAGGAATCCTAGGAGGGACTAGGAAGTTCTTTAGTGTGATTGTTACGTTGTTGAGGTATTGGGAGTATTATTATGAGTAGACGACTTAGAAGACTCGGGATTATTCTTGAGGAAAGTATGGATACGTGTGGAAGGTAGTATTGGGCTCTTACTACTGGAAGCATAGGATCCAAACTCGAATCGAGAAATTTTTTATGGATTCAAACGAGTTGGTCAGGGAAGATAGTATGGTTTGACACCATGATTTGTGGTAGTGGTTCCATACCTTTCAATCTTTTAGTTATGGTTCTTCAGCCATGATGATAGGTCTTGTAATTTTTTTGGCCCTTAGAGGAATTGTTAGTTCGGTTTGAATGTTGCAGATCTAGGTGAGTTTCTTGGTTTTAAGGTTTCTAAGGCCTTGCTCGATGTAGTGCCAGCTGATTCGTGGGACTCAAGAAAGAAATATTGTTACGATCAGGTTGAGGATGGCAGCTGAAGTTTAAGTGATTAGCAGAGGGATTGGAATGTCACTATCTACAATGAGGTCTATGTTCATCCAGCATTCCATATTTAGAGAAAAAAGAGGACAGCCATGTGATTTTCAGAGTTGGATGTAGACCAAGCAAAAGGCTAGATGGTTGCGATATTTGGTGGCAGTTTCCTGTAGATGAGGTCAAGGGTCTGTATCTTTGGATATAGGCAGGTCAGGTGCTGGTTAATGGCTACAAGTGATCAGGAAAGTGAAACGGGAGCGACAACTTTTGTTGTCTCTGATGTATCCCGACTATGAGAGTGATGCCTCTGGTATATATTAATGATCCTCATGATGAATTGATGGTTAGGGATTTCTGGACTAGATAAGCAGTAATCCATTCGTTTCTAGACAGAGAACCGATTCTATGAATGGATTGTCAGAATTATAGTGTGTTCATCTGCATGGGGTTCGTGATTGTAGAAGTGGTTATGATGAGAAGTTTTCGAGGTCTTCATCTGAGATTAGGAACCTCTTTGGGTTGCTTGGTATTTATCTAGAACATCATCTTGCATCGTGTTATACATTTTAAGAGTCAAGGAATGTAGTTACTTGGTTGAGCCGGTTTAAGATACGGTTTTGTTGCAATGCATGTTGGTGGTAGTTCAAACCCTAAGTTGGGTTAGAACTAGGTATTCTGCTAGGAGGATCATCGATCTGTTCGAGTTTGTGGTGTTAGAAGAATGGTTCATAGGACTCTGCGGTGCGGGTATGCAGGATTTCGGCTCAAGATTTGATCAAGATAGAGGTGTAGAGTATGTGGCTATCGGATGTATGTATCTAGGAGATACACGAGTTGTCTCTAAGAAGAAAGCAGTTGGTCAAGGAGCTCGTTGTAGCCATTGGTTCCTTTTAGGATACCAATGAATAGACGAGGAGCCTCTAGGGTCACTCAGGTTGAGTATCAGTTGTTGAGGGATTTGCCAGCTCATTATATGGATTATTATTTATAGTTTAGCTTGGGCATTTGTTGATCAGGAAATCAGTTCTAGAGTTGGGTACATTCATCTCCGCATGAGTTTTGGTTCCTTGGATTAAGTGTCAATGCATCCTCGATCATTGGTCGTTTCATCATCATCAAGCAGAGGTTCTTCAAAAGTTTAGCTTTGTATCAGTTGAAGTTCAATGAGTGCGTCAACCTATCATCAAGTTTCGTATGTTTTATATTTTATTTGGTTTCTAGGTAAGTTCACCCACAATGGTGTGGAATTTTGGTTTATAGCAAGCTCAAGTTTGGCAATTTTCCTAGTTTATTGGAAGTTCGGATGTTGGTGCAGTATTTCTAGATCACCTTGGAAGTCTTCTTGAGCTAGTTACATATTAATGGGATCTGTTCAGTCTCAATCGAGGTATGGGGTCTTGTTGTGATCGTTATGAGAATGTTTTATGTTAATGGTTGAAGTTTTTTAGCTCATTAGAGCCTGTGGTACTACAACTTTGGGTAAGGTTGTGGGTTCCCTAATGGTGTGTATTGCAGTAAGTTCATTATTTGGGGAGTGTGTGGGTTGAACAAGATAACAGTGGAGTACATGGTTAGAATTATATGCATGGTGCTTATGTGGGTTATAGCCTTTAAATTGGAACAAGAATGCGGAAATTTATCTCATTTTTGGGTCGTGTGCGACCATGTCTCGTCGGATTTGGTGTTGGTAACAGCCCATACTATGAAATGAATTATGTGTGATAAAATATTATTGCGTTGTTGTGTTCATTTAGCATTGAGAGGGACTTTGATTTGGGTTCCTGTAAGGCGGTAGAAAGAGATCGAGTATCTTTAGGCCCTCGTGGTGCTGGTTTAGATCAAATGGTCAAGAAAATTCATTTACGATGGTATATTATTTGTGCACCGGAAGTCACTTGATGAATGGTTGTTATGGTGGACCCCATCTTATTATGGGTTGTCTAATAGGAGTTTGGTTCCCGGTGTGTGGAGTTGGTTCTGAAATCTCGATTGATTTGTCAGGTGGAGGTACACTTAAGCTGATGAGGGGTTTTGATGCAATGTGCGAATTCTTGGATCGACCATCCTTATGCCTATGGGAGCAGCGGATTGGTGACAACTTTTTAGGAAGTCAAGAATATGTTTAAATTTGTTGGACGGAATTCACGATCAGAATGTTTTAAGTATACTTTCAACACATTTTGGTGGTATCTTATTCAAGGGACTAGGGGTAGGTGTGATGAATGGATGATCATCAGTCTTAAGGTAAGGTTTCTAAGAATAGTCTGATGGGTTCCGGCTTTCGAGAAGTATAATGACAAGGATGGTTTGTGGTTGTAGTTCTGAGAGTTCCCGATTATGTGGTTTTCTCAGGAAGTTTGGTCATGCAGTTAGGGAGAGAAATAAATTGTTTTGTTTGAGCATTTCAAGTTATTGGGTTGCTTATTGGCAATTGTGGGTTCCCGAGTGGTCTCTCAAGTTTCTTTATAATATGCCTTGGTGTCGAGATGGTTAGAAAGCGCTTACATAAAATGTTAACGTTGCTTTAGAGATCTTAACCAAAGCGGATCTCGAGGACGAAATCCAGTTTAAGTGTGGAAGAATTGTAACATCTGATTTTCTATTTAATTGTTTTTTTTTTTTGCTTAAAAAAGAAGGGATATAATTATTAGAATAATTAAATATATAAATAAGAAATCATTATTGTTTTAATTAATAAAAGATAAGTGGTATTTGTTATATTTGGTCCTCTAATGATCAAGTAATTAATTAAATAAATGAGAAAGTTATAATAATAATAATAATAACTAGAAAGGTTACCCCCGCTACGCGGGGGCCAAAAGCTTTTAATATTGTTTCCGAATTGATAAATATGACAGATATAGAAAGTGTAAGGATGAAAAGCCCGGAGTTTGCCCTGAACCGTTTTTTTCATGTTTTTATGAAAAAATGTAAAAATTTTGATTGCAAGGATCAGAAGTTTCAAAACGGTTAAAAAATTAAAGGGGTAGGAATTAGCAAATTTTTAGAAAAAGGGATCAAAGTTGTCAAACCGTTAAAGTTTTGTGGCCAAACTTTAAATATTAAAAGGTTCCTAAAATGTAAAAATATTGATTGCAAGGACCAAAAATGTCAAAATAGGTAAAAGAAATGAGAAGCAAAGTGCAGGGACCATTTCTGCCAAAAAAATATTCAGTTTACTATTCCTAAACTTCATATCTTTAAGACAAAACTGCACAAATGGTCCCTGTGGTTTACACAAAATTGCCATTTTCGTCCAAAAAAGTTTTGGCTAGCACCAAAAGTCCAAAGTTTCCATTTTCTTGCATATTTGGTCCAATGGGTTAACTTTCGTCTATTTCCCTCTGTTAAGTTATGTTTGACTAGTCAAATCAGGGGTATTTTGGTCATTCCCTATTTATTCCCCTTATTTTATATTAATAAAGGAGAGTTCGTATGTATGCATTGCCATACGGATAATATCGAGCCTAATTCACATTTATAGTCCTTAAAAACCGTGAGTCGATACTATTTCCCTCCTCATTGACTGAGGATCAAGAACCCTAAACTGATTACCAAGGTTGATAGCTTCAATCAGGCGAGTTTCATAGTGAATGCATATACCAATGTGGCACTTAAGGTTGTCAAGCACGTCGTTCGACCCAATGGTGGTTTATGGTACGTAATTTTGTTTTTGATCATTTTGTTGATTTTCTTACAAGAAATCATACCTTCTAAAGTTTTTTTGCTCTTGTGTTAAAGATGGACACCCTACATTGTTTACCATCAAGCTACATCATGGAGGTGAGTTCACAAAGTTTCCAAATGTCAACTACATTGAGGGTATTGTGACGTACGTAGATATGGTGGATATAGAAGAGTTTTCTATTCACGAGATGGATGCGATTATGAAAGGGTTAGGATACTCAGTTCCTCCAGTTATCTACTATCATTTTTTTAGTGCCAAAGGGAGACATGCATTTTGGGCTACGGGCCCTAGGAAATGATGATGATGTCCTCAATCTTTCCCAGTACGTGAAGGAGCATAAACTGATAAGGGTTTACACCAAGCATGGTATTACTAACTTGCTTACTTACTTTATGGCTCCTAAACCTGTAAGAAAAGTTATTATTGAGCAATTAGAGGAGACCGATGAACATCAACCCCCCCCCCCCAACTAATAACCAACCCAGTGGCATGCCACAAACATGCATACCACCTGTGATAGCAAATGAAGCTGCTTTAGCCTTGTCGATATCCCCTGAATATAATAAGGAAAGGGAATTTATCAAGGACAAACCATTATCATCATGTATTAAGAAATTGGTGATGGATGATGTTAGTGTTGATAGGATTGGTGGGAATAAGGATGATGCAGATAATGAATTTGACCACGGATTTAATGAATTTGATGAGGAATGTAATGATATTAACCAGGATTTTAATGAATTTCATGAGGCATGTAATGATATTAACCAGGGATTTAATGAATTTGAGGAGGCAGCTAATGACTTTGATATTCGGTTGTACCAACAGATTTTACAGTCTAATGAACAGAATGTAGATGATGAGGTTCATGAAGGTGAGGAAAATGCAGTTAATAAGGAAGTCACATAAGAAGAGAATCATGACAGAAATGAAATGAATGATGAGAATGTAGAGATGAGAGATTTTATAGTTGATGATGGAAGTGAATATAACATAGAGACTGATGAAGACAATACTGAAAGAAGTGATGAGAGTGAGGACAGCGATGATAGTGATTTCTGGGTGGATGAAGACAACATAATCCCTGATGTAAAAGTAGATATGAGGGATTTTTACATGAATATAGATCTTGAAGCAAAATTTCTTGAAAAAAGATTATCAAAGCATAGAGAAAATGACAGTGATGAGGTCAATGAAGAGTTGGATGTTATAGATAATGATCAATGGGATTCATTGGATGAGGGTTCTGATATAGATAGGAAAAGAAGAGCTGTAATAAAGGAATTGGGGAAGGAGACTAGGTGATCTCAAGGTGAGATACACAAGGTAACTTTTAGGATAGGACAAAAATATAAAAATAAGAAGGAGTTAAAGGAAAAGATACAATTACATGCACTGGAAACAAGAAGGAATATATTCTTTGTGAAAAACGACAACATGAGGTTAAGGGCAATCTGTAAAGGAACTGTAGCCTTTAATGATGGTCATGTGGGTGAGCCTACCCCTTGTCCTTGGGTGATACAAGGTTCTAGGTCAGATGTAAATAGTAATTGGTTCATAAAAACTTACAACCACGAACATAAATGCCTCCAGACAAGAAAAGTTAGATCTGCAACAACAAAGTTTATCTCTAAGCAGATAATGGACCAGATTGAATCCAACCCAACAATCCCAGTCAGAGCTCTTCAAGAACAACTTCAAAAGGATTATCAAGTTGGATTCTCTATTCACAAGGTATTTAGGGCCAAATCTACTGCCAAAAAACTTGTCCAGGGTGATTACAAAAAGCAATATGATGTTCTTAGAGATTACATCCTGGAGTTGCAGTCTACTAATCCAGAAACCACTATGAAGTTAGAGTTTGATTCAGAACCCAACCTTAGTGCTACCTCAAGAAGATTTAAAAGGATGTACGTGTGTTTGGGTGGAATGAAGAAGGGCTTTAGAGCTTGCCTGAGGGATTTTCTAGGTTTTGATGGGGCATTTATGAAGGGCCCTTTCCCAGGACAAATTTTAACTGCAGTTGGGGTAGACTATAACAATGGAATATACCCCCTAGCTTATGCCATTGTTGAGACTGAGAACACTGACAGTTGGAAGTGGTTTCTAGAGTGTATTGCAGATGATCTGGACCTATATGCAAACTCAAACTTCACATTTATAAGTGACAGACAAAAGGTTTGTAATTTGTTGTTTATATTTGACATATTTGGATGTGCTATATTAACTATGTTTTAATTCCTTTACAGGGATTGCAAATTGCCATTTCTCAGTTGTTCCCATGTGCTGAGCACAGGTTTTGTCTTAGGCATATACATGACAATATGAGAAAAACATGGAGAACTAATGAGTACAAAGAAAACTTGTGGAATCGTGCTACAGCAACAACAGTACCAGAGTTCAATCATAGGATGCAGCAATTCAGCTCATATGATGTAGAAGCTTATAATTGGTTGAAGAAGATTCCCCCACAACATTGGGCAAGAAGCCACTTCACAGGTATATACTTCAGCTTCTAAATTTACCCTTTTGTGTTGGTATATGCTTGATCCTTTTGTATTAGTATATGTTTGGTCCTGACAATATTGCGGTGTTTTCAGGCAGAGCAGTTTCAGATATGCTTCTGAATAATCTTTGTGAAGTTTTTAATAGCAAATTGATTGAGGAAAGGGACAAGCCACTAATAACCTGCTTGGAGTGCATTAGGGAGTATATGATGAAAAGAATATGCAATGTCATAAAGGTGCAAAAGAAGTGTGTTGGTCCATTAACCCCATCTGCAATAAAGATCATGGAGAAGAATGTGAATTGGGCATCTCAGTACACAGTTAGGTGGAATGGGTCAGATAAATACCAAGTGCAAGGGCCATGGCAGGATCAACATGTTGTTGACATGGTTGAAAGAGTATGCGGTTGTAGGAAGTGGGAATTAACATGACTCCCTCATTGCAGTCCTAAATAACAAAGCAGATAATGGTGAGGAAGTTGGAAAACTGAACACTTATGCCCACAGGGTGCACTGGCTAGAAACATGGAAAGCAGCTTATGTGTACAAGGTCGAGCAATGTGGCCTATAAGTGAATGCCCAATTAAAATCACCCCTCCTCTACACAAAAATCAGCCTGGAAGGCCAAAGAAAAAGAGGAGGCAATCTGCTGAGGAGAAAAGCCAGAAGAAGGGAGACAATGTTGCTAGTGGTAGTGGGAGTCAAAGCAATATTGCTAGTGGGAGTGGAAAGCTTACAAGAAAGTTTATCCAAGTAACTTGCAGCAAGTGCAAAATTAAAGGGCACAATGCTAGAACTTGCAAAGGCCAAGGGGGTAAGTGATTGGATTTCAAGGGATTTTGATGTTTGTAGGGGTATAAGTGTCTTTTTGGGATAATGTTATGTTTATGTGTATTGTATGTTTAGTACTTTCTGTGTTTTGTGGTTTAACCATTTTGGATGTTATTTTTGGTACTTGATTGTGTACCCTTGTGATGTATGGGAACAATTTACACTGGATTTGATGTAATGGCTTATGTTATGTTTAATGTCTTGATGTTATTGTCATGTATAATTTTTTGTTGTAGAAGTTGACCAATATGCCCTTTTAAACAAAACATACATTTGTCATTGATAATGTGTAAACCACATACAAAATAAATTGACCAATATGCCCTTTTAAACAAAACATACATTTGTCATTGATAATGTGTAAACCACATACAAAATAAATAGACCAATATGCCCTTTTAATCAAAACATACATTTGTCATTGATAATGTGTAAACCATATACAAAATAAATAGACCAATATGCCCTTTTAAACAAAACCACAAGACAAAACTGCACACATGGTCCTATGGTTTACACAAAATTGCCCAATATAGATTGACCAATATGCCCTTTTAAACAAAACCACAAACAAAATAAATTGGTCAAAATGTACATACCAAATATAATCACCATTGACAAATTCCTGCAAAACATGTCTTACATTGCTTACATTATAACCACAAAAGACTACCACAAAGTATTGCCCAAAAGATTACATTGCTTAAACAAGATACTACCAAAAACATTAAAACACTACCCAAACTATTACATTTCAATATACTGCTTAGAAACCACCCAATCCATTACACTTACAAACCACCCAAACCATTACACTTCAATCTACTTCTTATAAACCAGAACAAACACGAACAACACCCAACTGCATAACAGGTAACACTTGAGTCTTGGGTTTTGTTACCTCAATTTGTTGATTTACCTCAGCAGCTCAGGTATAATAGCTTTTGAACGTTCACAAATTGGACCATCAAACCACCCAATAAATCGACATTTGGATCCCTTCAAAATTTAAGAAACAAAAGAAGATTGTAACATGTAATGGGAGATTTATGCTGAAATCCAAAAAAAAATTGCGTACCTCAGTAGGGCATCCCCAGAAGCGTCTACCTGGATTTTTATCAGTCCATGTTGTGCGAACTATAGCCATTTTACCACAAAAACAAAGCACCATTTTTTATTTTGATTTCTTGAAGAAATCGATCGCAGAGTTGAAGAAGACCAAAATGAGAACGACGACAAAGAAGAGGGATTGAGATTCGTTCTTATAGCTCTCCTTTATTAATATAAAATAAGGGACATAAATAGGGAATGGCCAAGATACCCCTGATTTGACTAGTCAAACATAACTTAACAGAGGGAAATAGACGGAAGTTAACTCATTGGACCAAATATGCAAGAAAATGAAAACTTTGGACTTGTGGTGCTAGCCAAAACTTTTTTGGACCAAAGTGGCAATTCTATGTAAACCACAGGGACCATTTGTGCAGTTTTGTCTATCTTATCTATATATATATATATATATATATATATATATATATATATATATATATATATATTATATATATATATATATATATATATATATATATATATAATAATAATAATATATTTTAGTGACCTTAATGGCGGGGAAATGAATTAGAAGGGTCTAAACGCGCGTTTTAGAAACTTAGTTTGAATTAAACCTAAGGTTGTGGGGGGTATTTGTCATCTGATCAAACTGTAGGGGCTATAGCTGCCCGTAGGTGTAAATCGACATCTGGTCTCCCTGAAGGCGATAATGCTGAGAATGGAGTTCTTCCTCCTGTTTTATTGCTTCTCCTGCATCCGACAATCTATAAAGGAACCAACCCTAGAGAGAGAGATAGAAGGAGAGAAATGGAGGGCAAAGGAGAGAAATGTCATGGATGCTTGAGTGTAAGGGTGTATTAAACTATTAATGGAGGTATCAGTTAATAGATAATATTGTAGTTTCTATGAGTGTTTTTTTAGGCTCAAGTTGAAGTGGTGGTTCTAGGATTCGATGTCCTCATTTCCAGCCTCCTCGGGTGGGTCAAGTATCAGGTGGTTCGAAGGAGATGCAGCCACAACTTTCCAAGTCTGAGTTTAAGCTCTTGGTGACAATGGTATATCTGATTGATCTCTATTTCTAGCATCAGGTTGCGTGTTCAAACAATAGAGTCATGGTGGGAACATTTGAAATGGGTTGAGTTCTGGTGGTAATTAAGGTAGCCTGCAATCGATGGATTTACTCATGGTCGGCGCCAGGTCCATACAGGGACTGATACATCGTCACCGGGAGGATGGGTTGTTGGAAGGGATGCATCACCGGGAAGAAGGACTCAGCCGGAAGTTGGAGGGTGCGTCGGGCACCTTCTGATGTTGGGATTCTGTGCGCATTTCATATGGAATATGCATCTTCTCACCCTCTTTGACTTAATGTACGGATTAGATTAAGTGTAGTTTGGGCCATTGGTTTCTGGTGGGACAATGAAGCTTTTGGGCTATTGTATGTTGATGGATCAAAACTACCTTGGACTTTAAGTGCAAGTAGCCTAGTTAAAAGCCTAGTGTAATTAGTGGGTTGTTGAATTAAAAAAAAAAAAGCATATAGGATAGCAAATTTTGAGTGCTGGTTAATTTCCTATTAGACAATGTATTTTATGGTTGAATTTTAATGAGTTGGTCTAATTTTTATTTCTAAAAGATAATATTCTATAACCTTAACGTTGGTAGAAATGACGATAATTAGACTACATATTTATAGTTAATTGTTGGTCGCATATGAGAATTTAATTAGCAAAAGGGTTAGGTATTAAGTAAAGTATGGATATGTTAATCAAGTAATATTGGAGATATTGGCTAAGTGAGAACTATTTAATATTGGTTGTAGCTATTCAGAGTGTTGAGATTCATTTTAGCCACTTTAGTAGTTTACTTTACTTAATACCATAAATAAATTTATTCCAATTTTTTCTACTTCAGGTGAGTTTTTTTCACTGTACTTACGGGTCGAGAGCATCAAGACCGACCCATTAGATTGATATCATGGGTATTGTATGTTATTATGTTGTTGTGATCCATTAGATCTGTATGATTATCTGTATTTTCCGCATTTGTGTTCATTTTTGTTTGTTTTAAGTACTCCAGCGGATAGGGGCAAATCGAAGGCTTGATCGTGCACATCATCCTGAATTTTTATGAGATTATGATTTGGGGATACTCTAATTCATGTTTATGACTTTTGGTAACTTTGTTTTGTAAAAATTTATGGTTTTGGATTGGTTTTCAAAAATAAAAATTTTACCTTGATTTTTGGAATGTTACAAAAATGTCAGACGGTTAGACGACTTCAGGAATTAAACCAAAAGTTCTATCATCTAGCTAATCGAATGTGTACTTCAAACATACAGTACTACTTTACACGTACTATTATTTTATCAGACGTATTCTAAAGTCAAGAGACTAGTTTATTGGTATTACTTAAGATATCTTCCGACAGGTATCATTCATAATCATTAGCTTCCTTATTTCCTCCATTTGCTCGGTCCACTACAAATCTTCATCATGACATTCTATTTCCTTACAACAATCGCTCAGGGTACTGGAATCGCAACTATATTATGATAGAGAATATTTTATGTTTGGACGCAGAATCCTCCTTATAACTCCTAAAAGTTATATGTCAGTTTTAATATCCTAATTCAATGTTAAAACGAGTTTATTAAAGTTATGGTCAACCATAGACCTTTCATTTAGTTAAGTAATACCAGTTTGGCAACCTAAGGTATGTTATAATATAAATCATTTAGAACATAATAGCAATTGAGGCACATTACCTAATGTATTCTAGTGCTTGTGTCAATTCAGGTATATTATGTAAATTATAATCGACACTCATCCCACAATCATCGCTTAACATTCTAAGTTGAAGTCCAGAAATCTTCTAAATTTCTAATTCGCTTAAATTAATGCTCTGATACCAATTGTGACATTCCCATTTTCATAGACATTTAAAAAAATTTATTTATGCTTATTTAAAACAGAGTTTATTTATAAATGCGGAATTTTGGTCTCGTAAAAGTATTTCCAAAGAAATGTTTTCCATTGATTTATAAAAGTTTGAGATGTCCAAATTGATACAAAACATAAACATAAGCAGGCCCTACAGTATCATAGACCAACAATCTACATCTCCTTGAATCTCTCATAATACATGTATCTTTGTACGGCTACCTGTGATATAAAGAACTAAGTGGGTCACGTTGGGAAACCTAGTGAGTGTATATGGATTTCAATCCCACATTGTCATATATATATATATATATATATATATATATATATATATATATATATATATATATATATATACACTACTAGAAAACTGACCTTTAATGACGCGCAAACAATGACACTCGCCGATAGAGGGCGCGCATTTGTGGGTGCCCTAAAAAATAGTGTTAGTTTTGCAAAATTTGACGGATAGAAGACACGCATTTGTACGTGCCCTAAAATTAGTGTTAGAAAAGAAAAAAAGAAATGCGGAGGGCGCCTTTTATAAAGTGTGCGTCATGTAAGTATGCCGCTTTATAAATTTTCAATGAAACACGCCTTTTAGGCGGGAAATGATCGATTGACAAAAATCCCCAAAATTTTGGAGGACCCGCTCATTCATTCCTCTCCACTTGCTGATGACCTTCATTTTCTCCCCCTCCTTCTCTCAATCAAGAAACCCTAACCTTTCTCTCTATTCACGGGCCAGTAATCACGGCAAAGAAGATCAACAACAAAGACCAACAAGTTCGATTTATCCCTAAAACTTGTACAACTTCTGCAAATTCCATGGCCGCTTTAATATCCATAGATACGCTTTAAACCAATCTAACCATACCTTTGCCCATCCGTCTTCATCTTTTATCTTCGCATATGGCCCATCTTTACATAATCAATAAGTTACTAGGGCTTTGAACCCGACCTCACATACTTCTTAGAGCTCACAACAGCTTCTCACATTTAGAAGCCCTTCCCGCTGGTAAAAAAAACCCTTCCGATGGACACCCTAACCCGATGCCTTAAGCAGCGCCTCCACCGCCCACCACGTTTGTCATCATCTTCATGTAGGAGTTGTTCTGTTGCTCATCGGTGCGACATGGCTTCCCGGAATAAGTCGTTGAGAACACGTATTGTTCTAGTGATAGTCTTCCATCTCCAAATGACCTACAAATCTGCAACCAAAAACGTTACAACATCAAAACACGTATTGCAGATCCTGCTTCTTTGGACCGCAATGATTGGGCGTCGCTGATCTCTTCGAGGAGTTTCTTTTTGACAACGATGGCATCAGTCAAGTACTTTACATGTTAATAGATTTCTAGGGCTTATGTATGTTTCAATTTATATGCAACTTCCCCAAATTAATCTAGAGAAACTTTTAGGGTTTATGATTTTTTAGGTAATCTGTAGTGATTAGGTTAATTTACTCATAGTTTTGATTAAGTTTTTTTATCATCATGTCCATGTCCCTTCTCTACTGTGTTCATGTGAGTCTTATACTCGGTAAGAGGAAACTGAACGAAAAAAATTCTTTTGGTTTCTGCTTATATTTCCGGTAAAGCTCAATTTATGAATTTTATTTGCACTTCCAATGATAACCAATTTGTGATTTGTTGATTCAGTAGTAAACCACCGTTTTGCTGAAACAGTTTTTATCGGATTTTGATAAGCTTCCTCTTCTTGAAGGCAAAATACAGCCATTTTATTCCGACTAAAATGGCCATGAAACCAAATCCCATACCTGCGTGCATGATACCACATAATTGGTGAGTCTACATTTAACTAAGGTGGGTCCAATGACCCACTTAATTTTTTTAATTTAGTAAAATTTTAGTCATCTACCTTTAAAAAAAATTAAGGACCTATTTTTTCTATAAACTAATGCAAGATGAATAACCATAAACTATTTCATGTTTTCAAATTTCAATCAATCATTTGACTTCATTCGATCATTCAGCTGAGGTACTGGATGATCCATTTAAGGACACAAAAACAATAAGATTACAACTGATTAATTACCTATGGAGAATTTGATAACTGGGAACTCCGAAGTTTTAGCAAGACAACCTCGATCGTTGCTAAATTCATCTACAACGTAGCCATCTTTGCAAGAACACGAGTAACTTCCAGGAGTGTTGGTACAGATCCCCTCGCACAGGTTACTGTTGGGATCTTCACATTCATTGATATCTGTGATGATCGAATAAAAAATAAGTATAAATCAAATAGTTATATATAACATAATTGAGAATATTTTGATTGTGAAAGATTTAACCTTGACAGCCTGGATCAAGATATGGTTGACCTTGATAGCCTTGATTACAAACGCATCTGTATCCCGGAGCTCCGGTATCAGAATCAATACAATGAGTATTTGCTTGGCAAGCCAAGACACCGGCGTTTCTAGCTTCACTGCAGCTTCCAAGTCTTTTATTAGGGTATGTCTATCATTGATTATTTACCTATTACTTGCTTTTGATTTGCAATCTGCACTGATTTCCAACTTTTTTATGCTATTTGCGTTACAATGTATCAGATTATGAATAATTAGAAAATGGTCCCTGTGCTTTCTGATTTTCATCGTGTTTGATCCAAAATTGAAACTTTTTTAATTTTTGTCCTTATTTCAAGGTTCCGTATCGATTTTGGTCCTTGGAACCTTGAAATGAGAACCAAAATCGATATGAAACTCTGAAATAAGTACCTGAATCAGAAAGTCTCGGGGAGCAAGGACCAAATGGACAGAAACCAACTTCTTGCTGACAAATGGACTGCATGTTGTTTGTATGTTATGTTAATAAATTTTGTTGACATATTTAGATGGAAATTGAAGCTTGATGAATTCATGAATTCTCTGTTTTCAGGGAATCAAACCAACAACAACAGTTTGATTGCAAATGATGGCCAAGCATGTTAGTCAATACAAGAATTCCAGTGTTTTCGATGATGGTAATTTTTTCTCTTTGATTTAATAATAATATTTGTTTCTAAAGAGATTATACAAGTATTAATTTGTTGATTGAATTTATTTATTTTTCTTGTGTTTCAGGTGTTGAGACTACACCTGATGATGTTAAGGAGAAATTAATGGCAATGGATTTTTCTGAAGATGTGAAGTGCAAGTTGACTACTCAATTAGTTTGACATGGTTCATAAACTTTGTCATGCATCTATATTCAATGGCAGATTTGTCTCCTGCCTAGCCTTTGTCTACAATCAGGAATTTCCATAAGGGTATTTAGTCTCTGGAACAGAAAACAATCCTTTTGCCTGGTAATTTGTGTTTGGTTATAAAATTACACAAATTACCATTTTACCCCTGCAAGATATGCTTATATTTACTTACTAATTGGATGTGATACTTTGTGTACGGTTGGAAGGAACTGGAATTGGCCTTGTTGTACCTGAGAAACCTCTTGAAAAGTGAGTTGAATTTGATCTTCATCTTCTCTTTGAACATTCTTTCTTATAAATTTTTTTTTATAGAATCTTTAATAGGAGTATGTTTGCTTAAATTTTATACAATGACATGGTTTTTCATGTTCAATGCTTGCATATTCCTTCTCATGATCGAACACCATTTGATGGTTATCATCTTCTCTTGTATTTATATTATGTTAAAACTTCAAGGAACCAAATGAGAGAGTAAATGACCATCTTACCATTATATTTGCATGAAGGGTTGATTAAAATTGTGGAGGAAAGTGTAAAGATTGATCAAAATTTGTCCCCAAATAAGCCGATTTATTTTCTTGGAGAATCTTTTGATCATGTGCTCTACCGATGTGACAGTGGTTTTGGTGTCTTGGGACTTCCCATGGATTATATTCAACATTTCAGCTTGTTACCCAGTAATTAATTAATTGTCTCTATCTACATGCTCTTTCACTTCACCATTGTATCTATTTTTCTTTAGTAAAATAAATATTAGGTAAAAGCATGGTGTGTTGTTATGAAACAAACAGGGCTTGTGTAGCCGCTAGATGAAGCTTGTATATGGCGCCAAACAAGAGGCACCGCCACTGAAACTTTAGGAGTCGAGAACAAAGCTAAATCCACAAAGAAGGTTCAATTACAATTTACAAATTTGCCCTTCCGTTTTCTTAAATATTTTATTAATCCAATATTATCATATCTGTCATATCGTGTATGTATGTTTTGGGATCCATGCGATCAAAATTTCCCTGGTGCTCCAACATTTTTGCCAGGTAAACCCAAGGGCTATTTGGTCATTAAAAAATGTTAACTTTTTATGGTGTCTAATCTGTTATTAAATTTGCAGTTGTGCAATTTGCGGAGCAGCATCCTGGTGGGCTTGGAGTTCCTGCTGTTGGCATGGCGTTCCCTGGCTACGTTACTCAGCCCAATGGAATGGGGAATTCATAAATGACATGGTACTTTAAATATATATAAGTAAATAAATATTTAAGATAATAATAGTTAGGTGATTAAATGGTTAAAATTGTGAAATTTTGTTGTAGGTTACCTATTTTGGCTGGTGCTGCTGGGGCTTTTGGCTGCTTCACCTTATATCACAATGGATGGTGCTTATCATGCTATGCCATCTGGCCAGACCTCTGCATTGCCTCCTACAAGGTCTGTTACTTGTTATTATGATTAATGATTCTGAGGGTATTTAGGTCATTTACTCAGAATTTTGCGTTTTCAAGTTTACTAGTAGATCACACTTGCTTGGCTAAATGTTATTTTGTATGCTTTCAAACTTGTCTTCTTCCTGAATTCTTTTTCTTTGTAAGTTTAGCCTTATTCTTTTCTTCAATTAAGTGTTGTCTGGAGAGTGTTGTATGAACAACAATAAATCAACATTTTTTTCCTTCTTTTTCTTGTATGAACAATACATAGTCATAGTTTGATTTAATTAGTTGCTTATTTTGTTTATTAGTTGCTTGTTTTCTAGCTTATTATAGTCACTGATTGGTTTCTTTTTATGCTTAAATCTTAACAGCTATCATGGCAACCTTCAACAGTAGTTTTGGACAGGCACCTTCTTGCAAAAGATATCACGTACGTGTTCTTCTGCTGCTATTGTGGATTCGGGAACATCCATGCTTACTGGTCCAACTGTATGTATCTCACGTGAAGCTTCTGCTAGAATTATTAATCTTAGAGATTTCAAGTTTTTCATATTTCTTGTATCTAATTAGTTTGTAAATTTCCGTTATAACTTTTATTGATTTGTTTTATCTTTCCATGGAACGATTATTTGTATGACATTATATTTTGTGCAATGAATTTTATTTTTGTATATGATATTTTATTTATTAAGAGACATTAAATGAAAATTTAATTCAAAAATTAGTAAATCTAGAAAAAATATTTTTTTAAAACATATAAAATTACGATACGCAAAAATGTGTGTCATCTTCATTTATGACATGACCTTTCTTGACAGGGGCTTCCTTGATACGCAATGCGTGTCATAAACACGCGCGTCGTAAGGTTACCACATGTAAATGCGTGTCGTCTTCTTTTATGACAGGGCCTTCCTTGATACGCATTGTGTGTCGTAAATGCGCGTCGTCTATAGACGACGCGCAAAAGCGCATCGTCCCTCTTTATGACAGGGCCTTCCTTGACGCGCATTTGCGCGTCGTGCGTCGTCTGAGCGTTTTACGACGCGCAATGAGCATCGTAAAAGGTTGTTTTTCTAGTAGTGATATATATATATATATATATATATATATATATATATATATATATATATATATATATATATATCAGTTTCACAAGACCAACCGTTACCAAATAATATATAGATGTGCCTCCGACTTGGATATTTATAAACCCTCATACCTAAACATACCTACCTTCATCGATCCTCACATATCCTAGTGTACGATTATCAAGAAGGGTTATCCCGCCTGATGAATCATTTTGAATAATCAAGTGTTTGTAATCTAAAAGATGACCAGACATATATTTACAATTGTATGATCTGGGCCTACCATTTCTGGTCTCCCAACGGAATAAGTAGACATAACATCACCGTTTTTTTATCTGGGCCCACTATTTCTGGTCACACAATACCATTTCTGGTCTCCCAACGGAATAAGCAGACATAACATCACCGTTTTTTTATCTGGGCCCACTATTTCTGGTCACACAATAGAATAAGTAGACATACCATTACAGTTGCTTGATCTGGTCCCACTATTTTTGGTCACCCAAAATAATAAGCAAACATACCATTATAGTTTCTTGATCTGCACTACCATTTTTGGTCATCTAAGAAGTAATACGATATGTACTCTCGTAGGTATTTTGTACCATCAACACCTGAAAGTGTCAAGGAACAGAACTCTACTCTCCGTTCCTAACTTACACACATATTTATCCCGAATGAGACTACTCGATATCAAACTTAATTGAACTAGGTATCTATAATAAGTTTTATCTTTATTAACGAGCATAACTACTAAACTCCCAATACCAACTCTATCTATACAACACTATCTTATCTTGGTGTAAATATTTAGCGCACAGTATTTAGGTATTAATATTCTTTTCTTCTTCTCTCTAATAACATTTCTATTATTATTATTATTATTATTATTATCATGTCATAACAAATATATATCTTTTATTATCATGTCATAACAAATATATATATATATATATATATATCTCTTGGTCGCATATAATATATCCTCAAATACATTTCAAACACATAATGTAACAACCCGTTATTTCAAGTCAGTAAAAATCGAGTCCTGTAACCTCTTTGAGAAAGGAATTAGAATATCATCGAAAAATGAAGTATTCAAAAACTCTATTTGGAGTACACTATGTACTAGGTATCGTGTTAAGGTTTCCAAACATATAAATAACACAAAAATCCGAGTTATAACGAAGAAGTTATGATCATTCTAAGTTTTCCGACAAAAACTGGCAATACGAAGTTGCGTAAAAACGCAAACTTTCAATAAAACACTTTCCGACCTTAGGTGTCTAAATGAAAGTCGTAGATATCGTTAAACTACAAACATGCATAAAAAGAACGCTCAAATCGGACATCGTATGAATAAGTTATGAATTTTTAAAGAAATTCCTTAATCACGTCATTTTAATAAATTAATAATAAAAATAATTCCGGAATTTGCCAACGGAATCTAAATGAAAGTTGTAGATCGTAGTCTCACCTTCGCGGGGATATAAAGAACGTCAAAAACGGAGTTCGTATGAAGGAGATATGAATTTTCGAAGTTTGATAAATAATTTATATATAATTTTTATTAAAACTTCGGTATAATCCGAAGAGGAGTCAGCGTCCTCATCCGAGGTACGCGCTGCGTACCCCTGTACGCCCCGCGTACCCGAGGAACTTGGCCTCAAACCGTCCACGTCGCCCTATGCGAGGCATCCGACCCGCCGTCCCATCCGACCCGACACCTGAGCCGTCCCATCCGAGGCCGAGGCAGTCGAGGCTTCGGTCACGCATGACGTACGCGTACGCGCTGCGTACGAGCGTACGCCCCGCGTACGAGGCCTCTCAGGCCCCCTATAAATAACATGTGAGGGTTCCCGGGAAAATGGCCCATTCTCTCTCCTTTTTCTTGCGTTTTACCTCGTTTTCCGTGCTCGCACTACCCCGAAGCCCTGGTCATTTTGTGCAAGTCCCAAAGGTCAATTTTACTCCCGAGGAATCCCGAGATTTTCGAGGAAAATCCATTTCCCGAGACGAAACTCTGCCCGGTTTTCCATCTTGCTATCTTCAAGCTTTCAAGTGAGTTCATACCCCTTTCAAACACACTTTAAATACATTTAAATGCTTTTATACTCTTTTAGGGGGGGAATACAAGTAAACATACGGTTATTATCGTGTATTTTATAAAGTTTCACTTCACTTGTTTTATCGAATAAATCACTTGGAACTTATTTCTATTATGGAAAACTCTTGTCATACTTTGTGTGCATTAGACTTATACAAAGTATATAATGATTTCAAAGTACCTTTCATTGTTAAGTCGTTTTATACATTCTAAAAACTTATGATTTTGCTTTGTCAAACATTGTGAAAAAGGATAAACTTTGCATACAAAACTATCACTTTAATACAGGCTTAGTTGAGAATCCATGAGACGTGTATATCTTCAAACGTTACTTTTCTTTATTAGAAAGTAATGCTGCAAGTCCTGTCTATAACCAGAGTCTCCCGTTCGGAGAACGTGTCAAATGTGTATAGATCTATACGGGAAGTCATGATCCCGCGCCCTGACTGTTAGCTACAGTCCGTCTTTTGGGGTGACAGTTGTCATAACGCTGCGACGCCTGAAGAACGTCGTTACAGGCATATTATGTTTAGTATGGTTATAAAACTCATCGGATATACAATTATTATGGTATTATGCTTTTATGAACGAGTAGCTATTAAAGCTATTCTTCATCTAACAAATGCGATCTTCGTATAGCTTTATTATATAAAACTATGACACAACTTTTGAACGTCGGTTTCTTGCAAAGTTTTGGTCTTAGAGACTGCCATTTATGTTAGGAAAATAAGGGATTTTCCTGGTGCAATTATTTACAACTTATAACACGAACATTCATATGCATTTCATACTTTTATAAGAAAATAAGGGTTTTTCTTGGAAACACAACAACTCGTATCTCAACCATTAGGGAAAATATGGGATTTTCTGGATTTAATACATTCACTTTCAACAAAACAAATCACAACTCTTTACATTTGAAATGCTGCGTTTTCTGGAAAATATACACCCATTTTGGAATGGCATCCAATTTTTCTAAACTACTTATGAACTCACCAACTTAATTGTTGACACTTTTTCTTTGAAATAACTTGTATTCTCAGGGAACCGCTAAGCAGGTTTGGGAATCAACTTTTGGGATTAACGCGCTGGCGTTAATTACTTCTTTTGAATGATGTTTATGTATTTATCTTTTGAACATGTAATGAATACAATTATGTAAACATCTTGGAAACTTTAATATATATGGTGGTGTGTACTTTCCTTTCTATGAACTGTTATGATACTGAATATGACGTCCTCCGCCCCCGAACGTTTCCGCCGTTCTGGTTTGGGGGTGTGACAGATTGGTATTAGAGCATTGTTTATAGTGAATTAAGTAGATCAAGACCATTTTTGATATACAACTATAAACTCAACTAGGCAAAAACACTCTGAGAAAATTCATACTTTTGAAAGTAAATCTAATTAGTTTTAAGGTAAGCATGCACTCATTTTATACTAATAACAGTTCTATAGTAAATAACTTTAGAAGTATTATAAATAAGTTGTGCAGTACAGGTACGCCTTGGGACATGTAATCGGAACTGGGAAGAATATAGCCTGATCAACTATATTTGTCCAAGAGCCGACTAACGTATGCCAAGGAGTGTCTGCAATGGACAACAAATTTAAAACTTACCAAAAGCATATCGCTAAAGAATACTGAGGGAGTATTCGAGTGCCGTCAACCATTAAACTTAAGGGTAAGTTTCATGTGCTCTAGCTTATAGTAAACTTTTAACTCTATTCTCGTACAGTCTAAATGGCGGGATTCCATCACCCCAATGACCCCTACTACCCCAACCAAGGTAATGGAGGGTGGATCGAAGAAGATCCTGAAGAAGACGAAGAGCCTATAGAGTTGGAGGGAGGGGATGACTCTGGCACGGATTCGGAGCCAGAAATTATAAATCCACCAATCCCACAATCTCCCGTCCACGTGAGGAATTTCCAAGGACCCACTCCAGTGTGGGGAAGTCACCTCCATCATTGGAGCCAACAACAAAGCTTATGCCCTCCCTACGGCATGTGCCAAGACTTCTATGATGTGAGAGGCGGGGGATCAACCGACCGAGCACTTCCAGTCATGGTTGGCAAACTCGCCAACCAGTGCTATCAATCCGGAGAGCAAGCCAACCGAATCCGAGAGGTCAATGTGGAAGTACAAATCCACACGGCCGATATCAACCGCCTAGAGTTGTTGCAGAACGACATCCACATTCGCGCCGAAGCATTTCAAGCACAAGCAAATGCGGCCTTCGCAGAATTAAGAGAACAACAAGCTGCGTTTGATAGACGCCTCATGGAGTCGAAGCAGTCCGACACGGAG